CCACAGTCCTTGAAGATCTGTAAGGGATGACAGTGTACAGTGCTGTCTGCAAGTTGGGGCATTCTTAAACACAGGCCGTCACCATCTGGGTTGCCTCCAAAGAACCTGCCCGTGCTCAGTTACTGTGTGAAGTTCCTAAGCTGTCTCCCAGCTGAGAATGAGTCAGTTTCTATATTCGTGCTGACAGACATGGATTATTCTGATTTGTGATGCTGCAGGGCACAACCGTTTTCAACTAAACTGGTCAGCAGCTTAAAAACAGAGGCCTCCCAATAATTCTCTAAAGGGTGTCTCAACATCCCCCAGCTAAGTTCCAGAATCCAACAAGACTGTGTGTTTGAATGTTTATAATCCTTGTGTTTACAGTTGAGGTCAGAAGTCGCGTGACACCAGGTTATAGTCCAACAGGTTTATTTGAAATCACAAGCTTTTGAAACGCTGCTCCTCACTTCATCTGATGAAGTGACTTCTGACTTTGTCCACCCCAGTCCAACACCGGCACGTCCACATCATATTTACAGATGAGGTTATTAAGATTATGATGTTTCGGGCCTATCTCTTTTAATTTATGTAAAGAATCAAGAATGATGGCGTTCATGCATCCTGTTCTGAATTGTGCCTGGCAGCAAGCTTTAATGGATTGGTTCTTAAAGATTAAAAAGGGGATCCATCAGGAAGAAGATCGAAGAAATTCGTAATGACCCAGGCAGGTGTTTTGACAACCCTTCCAAGTACAAGGAAAGTGTTACAAATGTCAGGTTTTGAAAACCATTATATTTTAAACTGTCTAATTCCAAGAAAGAATAAAGTAGGGAGTCGAAGGATACCTAATTAGCAGTTCTATCTTGATATGAGTTCCAGTTGGATTCATTTTGTCATGGGGATGGACTGTAACAGTGGAAGAGTCCGTAATAAGCCACTGTAGGATCAGGTTGCAGATTTTCCTAAGACTGAAACTCTCAGACAAAGTCGGTCTGCAAGTATCTGAGAAAGCGAGAAGCAGAAAGTCTTCATTGTTCATCATTCACGAATGCGAGTGAAAGCTGGTGCTCAGATTAAGAGTCCAAGGTCATGTAGGTTTAAACAAGGCTGGAAGATTCAGCTGGTGTTGACTAGAGTGAGGAATCTCCGGGGTCATCCACAATGAAAATTTGAAGATTAGAATTTATCTGTCAGGAGAAAGAGCTATGAATCGCCTTGCCTGGTTCACGAAAAATAGTGTGACTGCTTACAGGACAGAGTAAAGTATAACCGTGAAGGGAGATTTTCAGCTGTTTTAAATGTTAAATGGAGGATCTTTTGTAGTTTTTAGGCTCTAAGTTACTGACTGAATTGTGTTAGTTGATGTTGCTTTCAATTTGTGTGTTACAGCAAAAGTCTTAACTTTAAATCTTGTATGACTCTTGGTCATTTCCTGAAAGCTTGGTTTTCTTTTATGTTATATATCGTTCTGTAGTCCATGTAATGATTGGACAGTCACTTTACTCCATGTGTTCACAACAATAAGGCCTGAAGTTGGTGTTTGTTCTCTTTGTAAACGTGTTCTTAATTTAACAAACAGCTCGATGGCGATGATCTGCTTGATACAACAGCCGATCCTGCCAGCGCCTTCTTCACTGACGCATCTGTAAGTTTTCGCTTTTAGTCTCCTCTTCTGTTACTTGGGCCTCAAAGAATTTTAAATTGATGCAACATGCAATGTCTTGAATCTGGGCTTCACAGAGATGTAAATTAAGGAAATTGCAAAGAATTTGTTAAATTCTCAACTGCAGTAAATCTTTGGCATATTGATGTGTGTTTTGGTGTGCATCATATTGGATATTTGACTTGGGCTTATTTTCATATTTCTGCTTCAAACCTTCTGACCTCTTCTCCCACCCCCCATCCCCACTGACCACCTCCTAAACCGGTCAGTCTTCAATAGTGAGTTTGGAGAGGTCACAGGAACCGGAGGAACCAACTTAAACCATAAGATATAAGAGCAGCAATTGAGTGTTTGGCCCATTGAGTCTGCTCTGCTATTCAGTGGCAATTGATAATAGTCAACTTCCCTTTCCTGTCGTCTTCCCTTGATTCCCTTCCTGATTAAAAATCTGTCTACCTCTGTCTTGATCCAGCCTCCACAGTCCTCTGTGGTAAAGAATTCCATAGATTCCCTACTCTGTGAGAATAAATTCATCCTTATCTCTGCCCTAACCAGCAGACACCCCACCCAGAGATTATGCTTTCTGGTCTTAGATTGTCCCACAAGAAGAAGCAACATTTCCAGATCTTCCTGATCAGGTGCCTTAAAAATCTTATGTTTCAATAAGATCTCCTCTCGTTCTTCTAATCTCCATTGAGTACAGACCCAATCTACTCTGAGATAACAAGGTGTAGAGCTGGATGAACACAGCAGGCCAAGCAGCATCAGAGGAGCAAGAAAGCTGACGTTTCGGGTCTGGACCCTT